ATATTTTCTAGGTGCTTATGATACTATGACAACAAGGCAGCCATTAGTAAAGCACATACCTAGTTCATCACGATCGAACTAAGCATGTAGAGATGCTTTGAAAAAGAAAATCTTGATGGTGGTCAAGAGGGTCTCTTGCAAACTAGGAATGCACGATTTCTACATGCCATCTTGAGAGGAAGTGTTTGAATAGACGATTTTTAGTTATTATAAACTGATTGTATAGCTTTATATAAGTATGGTAGCAAAATTAGAGGTGTAATAAGCTTATTTCCTTATTTAGATTCTTTGGCTCAGCTTGTTATATTTTATATAAAGCCTTGTACATATTTTATTTTCAGAACAATGAGAAGAATCATCTTCCAAATCTTTAATATGTAATGCAAATCTTGGTGATATTTTATGCACCCTATCTTATTGAATCTTTCCCACTTCAGTACAGATACTCCTCATTCGCCTTTTCTTTATTTAAGCTCCTTATTTTGGTTTTGTGATACTTTGTGCATTGGGATGCTGTTTATTGCTTCTTTCTTCTGTTTTCTTTGTAGCTGCTGTATTCTTTTTGTTAATGAGGTTAAATAAGTATTACGAAGATCATCGAAGATTACGGAATATTACTACTATATTATAATTATACTATACCATATACAAATATATTGATTTTACCATATTTAGTTTGATTTGGTTCTATTCAATGAGAGAACCTCTCATAATGAGAGGCATGAAGTTTTATTAAGTATTATTCTGTTTATTTGACATGGTATACAAACAAGTATTCGACCCAATAATCGTCTCCAGCCCAACAATCACGCAGATACGAGTTTATGCGAGGGGGAGACGGGTTTGGTCTTCTGCAGGCCCTTTGTGTGAGAGGAAGACGGGTTTGGTCTCTTGCAAGGCTTGATGTGTGGGGGGAGATGTGTTTGGTCTTCTGCAAAGCCTGATATGTGAAGAGGAGATTGTTGAGGTTGTTCCACATCAATTATAGGTGGGGTGGATATTCAGTTTATAAGTGTGAGGGAAAATTTCACCTCTTGAGCTAACTTTTGGGGTGAGAGAAGCTCAATATCACCCAACACTGGTATCAGAACCAGTTCTCTAGAACTTCCTGTTGTTTTTCCGGTTGGGTTTCCTCAAAAGCGCCTCTCGTCGAGTCAGTCTTCTTAGTATTTAGATAGTTTTCAAACTCGATTTCTTCTCCAGCTCTTCCTCCACGTTATATTTATTATTCTTGCTCTTTTACAATCTCTTCCGCCTTGAAGCCACATTCGATTTTCCTCAATTTTCAAAATTTTCAGAGCCTCAAAAGTAGTTTAGAATTGTAGATTTTCTGGGATTTCTCTTGGGCTAGGAAACTTGATTTCTTTGGTTCCTTTGGTTTTGTCAATTTTTTGTGGTCTCAGCTTTGGGAAGTTCTGTGTATAGGCTGTTACCTTCTTTGTGATTGTTTTTCTTGGATACCGGTGACTTCTGTGACTGTCGGACTCTCTTGCTGAATCGAGGGCAGGTTACGACATCATCTTTTGGTGACCCAGTTGGCAAATCTTGAGATGTTGATCACTCTGCTGGTTGTCGGCATCATGTAGATTCTGGCTTCTCTTTTTTGGTGAACAATCGTCGTTGGTGTTTTCTGATTACAGAATCATCGATCGTGGTAGATTTCGACTTCTTAGCGCTAAAATTGTAGCAGGTTAGTAGATCGTGGGCTGCAGGTTTTTCTGTTGCTGAAATTGTGGGCTGGGCAGCAGCTATTTCAAGGAAATATAGTTGGGCCTTTCTATGATCTCCTATTTGGGCCAAACTTGGGTTGCTATTAATACACTTGGCTCTATTAAGTATTAGGATTTCTGTGGATGAAGCAATATGGATTTAAGTAATTGGGCCTCTATGTGTTAGTGAAGTTGGGCCTGTTTGTTTTTAATGTCTTGTGAGTGTAATACAAGTGCAAGACCGAAATTGTGGGCATTAGAGTTTGAACTAGAAGATGCAAAGGTTTTTGACATTTTTCGGATTTTCATCAATTCCATACCATTGATGAAGAAGCCAAAGCAAAGCTTAAGCCCTTGTTTGTTTTTCATTATTTACTCATTAAAATGAAAAATATGACCGTTATCCATCACATCATACCATCATATTTGAAAATCTATCTCTTGTGTGGGGTCCGTAACGGTTATATTTTTCATTCTCATATGGCTCAAACGTGGCCTAAATTTCAAACATTGGCGAATGAATTCTTGGAATTGCAAAAGGAATTTGTTTCAAAGCAGAGAAAATTAAAGGCTGAAAAAATAAATAAATAAATAAAAGAAAAATAAAAAGAGAGAGAGAGTGCAGATTGTTGAATTTTGGTTGCTCGGGTAATGAGCTAGAGTTTTGGATTCTCGTAGGAAGTTTTGAGATTTTGGTGTAGGCTGTTTTGTGGGATTTCTTTCAACTGCACTATCTTGGTCAGCAATGTATTGCTGGAATTTTGGCCGACGTATTGGCATTAGTACTTTTGTTGAAGCATGACTTATGTGATTGGTTAAGTTCTTCTGACAGATTGCCCTCGTTTGGCCCCCATTTTTTAAAAGTGAAAAAGGGTGGAATAGTATTTTTTTTTGAAAATGAGTGGTTAAAAAAAAGGAAAAGTTTTCGATTTACGTATAATATTATTTTATGAAATATTGTGTGGTTGAAAATAGGAGAGAGAAAAATGGAATGTAATATAATGAAATTTAATGAGGGCCAAATGGGGGCTGTGTATGTTGGCACACTTTGTGAATTTCTTTTGGAAATTTTTCTTGGGGAGAGAGTGATAGGCTCCAGCCTCCAATCCACTTCACTTATTCTAGAAAGATCCAAAAGCAGAATATCCTGCAAGTGGGTGGGGAAGGAAAACTGAATTATGTAAGAAGAGATCTATAAATAAAGGTAGAAGCTAGCAATAGGGGGATAGGCAGTGAGTAGAAGAGAGAACTTTAGGAGAGTTTAGCCCTCTCGAATGGCTATTGTTTCTGATCTGTCAGTGTAATTTTTCTTCGTTTTCTCCAATTAATAACAACATATTTTCTGTTCACAAACTGCAATTAGAATCCTATCAAATTGGTATCAGAGCCGTCGATTCTCGGACGAATGGAATCAAACTTCAGAAGCGAGTGGAAGGAGAAATGGATTTCAATATTCAATCGGTGGGAAAAGATGGTAATGTAATGGAAAGGAGATCACGACAATGATTCGGGACTGGAATCATGTGGCCGACTAAATATTTCAATATTCTATGGTGAAAACACAAACGAGTGGGTGTTGGAGGCGGAAAAGATTTTCTCCAAAAATCAATTATTAGAGGAAGAGAAAATAGAGGCTGCAACATCATGTTTTGACTGGCAAACCTGGAATTGGTATCAGCAAGTAGATCGACTACGATCGGTGGGAACTTGGGATGCATTGAAGGGATTGATGTTGGCTCGATTTTGTGTGAAAAAGCTTTCCATTAGTGAAGAATATTCAGTAGGGAAGCATGGAGAATTGGGGAACCTGGAGGCAGCAGGGAAAGAAAAGCGTTTTCAATGGAAGGCAGTGAGTAGAAGAGAGAACTTTAGGAGAGTTTAGCCCTCTCGAATGGCTATTGTTTTTGATCTGTTAGTGTAATTTTTCTTCGTTTTCTCCAATTAATAACAGCAACATATTTTCTGTTCACAAACTGCAATTAGAATCCTATCAGAGACCTCTCTAGAGTGTTCTTGGAATGGTTTTGGAGTTGTTCTTGGTTGTTTCTGCACTATTTTATTGTTTTTGGTCTCTTGTCATTACTAGTTTTCATAGTTAGTTGCTCTGATTTGGAATTTTTTCTTCGTGGACACAAGTATTGTTATCGTCGTAGTTCAATATTGCAAATTATCAATTTGAGGGGGATGTTAATGAGGTTAAATAAAGATTACTAAGATCATCGAAAATTATAGAATATTACGGCTACATTATAATTATATTTTACCATATATAAATATATTGCTTTTACCATATTTAGTTTGATTTAGTTCTAGAGAACCTCTCACAATGAGAGGCATGGAGTCTTATTGAGAATTATTCAGTTTATTTGACACTTTTAAAAACATTATGTGTGTCTAAAAGTTACTATTGCCAATCAGATGTGTGTTCTAACATTATTAAATGGGTAAAGCAGGTTTTATGTGATGCTGAATGTGGGAAGGAATTCATTTTATGTGAATACAACAGAGATGCAGACTCTTACAGGTAACTGATCTGAGCTCTCTTAAGTCAAACGGACAGATCATTTCAAGCTCTGTTTACTTTGGAAGTAGGAAAATTTTCTTAAGGTAATGACAACATTGTACTTTATGGACCAAGGTAAGTCAGGTGTTGATATACATCCCAATTTTGAACATCATTCATACTTCATTAGGCACCTGATACTTGTTGCAAACATTTAAAGAAACACATGATATTTAAGTATATAGTAAGATTTCCTGTTGTTGAGGTATAATTCATTCATGATTTGATTATTGTATTTTGTTGCCCTTTTTCTCATCACTAGGTCACCTTGGTCAAACACATACCATCCCCCACTAGAAGATGGTTCTCATCCATCTCCAGAGTTGAGGAAGCTTGAGATTGAAGCAAACGACATCTTTGCTATATATCGTGACCAGTGAGGTCCTTTACTTGTCTCATCCTTCCCTTTTACTTGGATGATTTTCATGCATATTTGAATCCTTCTTTTTTTACCTTAAACCAAAACAAAGTACAAGACATATGTTATGGATTTGGGTTTTCTTTTTAGTTTATGTGTCATGTCAAAGCACTGCTCTCAATTGTTATTGTTTTCATGAGTCGCTAGCAGCTTGATTCACCAATTTATGGATAGGTATTATGAAGGAGGCAGTTCATCAGTGTATATATGGGAAACTGAAAATGATGGGTTTGTATCTTGCTTTTTAATTAAAAAAGGTAATTTTGTTAACTTTTAAAAGCAAATGGTGCTTTGTTAGCATTTCAAGTTTTTGATGATTGATGATGGTGAAGACGGCTCAAAGTCTGGACATGGTAGGAGAGGCTATCTCCAAGAAGGAGCTTGGGATGCCATACATGTTATTGAGGTAGATATCATCTACTGCTCCAAACAAGCTGCCAGAAAGAGAAGAAATAAATGGAAGTAAAATATTATAATTCCTTTTCCTCATCTTTCCTTAAGTAGGTCTACTTATTCCTAATTCTGATTCTTAATTTCAAGGTTGGACAAGAAGAAGAAATAGCGCATTACTCTTTGACAAGTACTGTGATGCTGTCATTGACAACAAATGATGAGTCATCAGGCACCTTCAGTCTGTCCGGTTCCATTAGAAGACAGGTACCACATCTGTCATGCTGGATTTATAGTAAATTTTAATGTTATACCATGCCAGTATCTCATGCTGATTTTCTTTTGGAAGTCATGGGGAAATCATCACTTAAAATGTTACCTTTTGAAAGTTGAGTTGGATGTTTTTCTGCTTCACTTGAAGTTTTCTGTATATATTTCTTTAAAAAGAGGTCAAAAGCCATTAACGGTGATGGCTTCTCCATAAGACACTGTTGAAATCTATGAATGCAGTATGTTTTCTCAAATAGTGAGTGCCCTTGGTATTATTGTATTCAGTCTGCCCAATATCGACATAGTTGTTTCATGTCAGACTAACAATAGTCTTCATACTAGTTGCTATGCTGATAAATTGTTGACGAGAAGGCTCAGTTGCCCCTCTTCTCTTCTCTCTTTCTCTGAGAAGGCTCAGACCTCAGGAGCAAGTAGTAGTGAGATTTGAGAATAGCATTTGAGCTATCTTTACTGAGCCAATTGTTTGATATTTTGTTAAAGCACAGTGAAAAATATGATGTTCTGATTAAATAACTTGTGCCTGATGTTAATATAGTTTATCCTCTTGTTCAGTCAGTGCTTAAAAATAGCCTTTGTTTGGGCTTCATTAAAATGAGATTTTGGGAAAAATGTATTTTGGAATAGTAATTTTTTAGAGAATGGTTGGTTAAAAACTTAAAAGTAAGGAAAAATTTTGGATTTACGTGTTCTATTATTTTATTGAAGAATGTGTCATTGAAAATGAATTTTGAAAAAATGTATTTTTGGTTTAATGGAGCCCAAACAGGGGCATAATCTGAATTATTTTAACGCTGGGTTAGCTAGATCAGGTTAATGGTGAAAAAGCAAATAATAGAAAAAGAATCTAAAAGTTACTGGATTGGGAAAATGTTGTTAATGACTTCAAAACCCAAGGTTTGGGAGAAAAAATTTCCAAGTAGTTCTAGGAGAGTGATATTCATGACATAATATATCCTCATCTTAACGCACTTTTCTTTTCCTCTTTAAGAATTAATCATGGTTTAGCATGTAGAAGGTATCGGGAAACCAGTACAGTTCTATTTGTGAGAATCTGGTTCTTCTTTAATTGACTTAGCTGTTTTTCTGTTGGTCGTTTCTTGGTTATTTCATCTATTTTCTTGCAATGCGTGGCATGCAGATAATAAGTGCCCTACTTCTTTGCTCACATATGTGGTAGTTTAGTAGGTGGCCGGCAGTTTTTCCCTCTTTACATGAACTAAAAAATATCATCCAAGTTATGTTCTGCCAAACATTCTAAAAAAAGTGGATTATCCTTGCTGATTGACAGAATGACTCGCCTTTTCACTGACATTAAAAAGCACCTCAACCAGTCCAGTGAAATTTTTACTACTTCAGTGGCTTTGACGTTTATCTTTAAGTTTGGGGGATTTGGTAAGCACTTTGTTGAAAATAATTTGGGTATCTGCTTTATTGGAAAACTATAATTCCATCAATGCTCTCTCTTTATGGTCAGGCTTAGGATGTGCTTTTTAACTTGAAATATGTAAAACAGTTAGCTGCTGTTACTTAGTTTCATATCTTTTCATTTTTCCCACTTATTCTCCAACTTTGTTTTGACCTCAATTTCCCAATACGGTGATTTTCTTGCTGTTCAAAAGAGTTTAACAAAGGAATTTTACAACCCTTGTGTACTATGCTATTCATTCGTGAATGTACAGGACCATTGATGTAAATGATTCCTACTCTGCCTGTAGTAGTGATCTCTAGATAGGTTTTTGAGTTATTTACCTAGGAAAAAAGGCCTTATGTAGATAATGAAGAATCATAAGATTGAATTACTGGGATGACTGTGCCCACAAGGAACCCCATGTGCATACAACGGTCTTCAATTGTCCGAAACATAAGTTCTGCAAAATTGGTTGACAGATGGTATTTAGATAAAAATCTTATCTTCTTTATGTCTGAAACTTTGGCGCAAATCTACTATACGATTCTCTCATAAAGATCTAATAATGAGAAAAAAAAGGAAAAAAAGCTGATTTTTGTTTTTTAATAGTTTGTGGACACAATCCTCGGTCCTTGGGGCCGGAGCAATTTGTTTAGCTTTACATTCGTCCTAAGGTATCATATCTAATACATCAGTGGGACACATTTAGTACATCCTATACGTGTATCTATTTAGTCTCGTTCAATTCAGAAAGCATCTCTCTTCCTATCCCTTACTCATTGCTCTCTGCTCTTTGTGTTTCCCCTTATTTATATCAATGTGTTATTGTAATTAAAATAGATGACAAAGGTATAATGAACAAGTAGCTGGCTATTTGTGATTACTGAGAAGTGTTCTCTGCGGCTTCTCTTTTCCCGTGCGCCTTTCTCTGCTTTAAGTTTCCCATTTATACATCAAGCTTATAGATCAACCCCTTTAAAAAAATCAAAGTCAGCTTGTAGTAGTGGTGCTAGTCTGTATTGGGGTTTCATAATTGATAAGTTGCTGGGTGTGGTCAGGGATAACTACAAGGGAGGTGAGAGTGATATTGATTAGTTCAATATAGGTTGATCTTTAAATCCTAAGAGTGGGTTGGGGAGAGGGGGGGGGGGGGTTCTAACGAAAAAAGCATATGGTTTTTCCTCTTCTTTGAACTCCCTAAACACAACCACTTGATAAATGATGCCTTTGCAAGCTAATCTCTGTTGGATTTCATGATTCGAGAATTAATTTTTTTTCTCCCAGTGAATACAAATTGTTATTATATAAGTTTTAGTAACTACAATCAAGGGTTTAAGCCTGAGAAACAGAGTTGACATGGGATTGGTTTGATGACATAGCAGAGTATAGAGAATAAAAAAACAGATGACTTTATGGAAGTTTTTGGATCCTATATGGACCTGGTTGTGTTTTGTCATCCCTGTTGTTTGTGTATATTATCATATAATTTGATTATATTTTCTTTCCTTTCCTTTTCATTTTTTTCAATTATTATTATTATTATTTTTTTGTGTGCGCGCGCGCGCGTGCGTGGGTGGGGGGATTGGTTTGGAGGCTGTGTCAATTTTGCAAGTCTTATCCTCTAGGCTCTAGATTCGATCATTCTCAGATTTTGCAAGTATATTTGCTGGTGTGTAAATGCCTTTTTTGTTTTGTTTCAACTGCCAACACCATGAAGAAAATTGCAACCTCGATTCTCCCTCTTGTCCTTTTCTTCTTTCTTGTTGTCACCCCTGCAAAACCCTTTTCTGTTTTGCTACAAGCACCATTTATTGTGTTACGACATGCTACTATGTTTTGCTGTGAATTGTGTTATGACGATATGCTGCTATTGATTTAAAAATAATCATGAAGAACTGTAAGTTACGAAGAACAAGAAATGCTACTATTTCTCCAGTTGTCTGTGTAGTTATTTTTCCAGCTACAAAGTGTAAAGAGAATCGATCACAAGGTTTTCCTGGCTCTGTTTTATCAAACCAACTGAGATCGACACCACCAAATAACAACCCAATCTCCTACAACTTTCACCCAAAATCCGGTTGCTTTTGTATTGCCCACAAAGGACACAAAAGTGAGAGGTTATTGCCGCCACATAGGAAAAGAAATAACTTTGTCGAAAAACTGAAGGCAGGCAGTAGCACAAAGCAAAGGAAGAGCAGCCGGTGATTTTTCTTCAAGGCAATAATTTATTTCTCAAAGCAAGGAAGCTGCCCATATATAGCAGTAGTTTAGGCTTTTAGGTTAAGTAATTGATTTGTCCCAAACAGGAGACAATAGATAATCAATAAGTTGGCCAAACAAGAAAGCCATCCAAGGAGTGAAAGGTTGGGCCATAAGTAGCTCTAATTGAATTTGGTTACTTCCTATGACCCAAAATAGTTATAGGCTTGGGTCGTTCCATTTGAGGTGTTGATATTTCACTTCAGTCATTTGGTCGATATCGATTGAATAACTAATGATTTAATGTCATTGCTCGGGGATTGGGTATCAAAACCCAACAAATTTTTACCTTGATGCCTAATAAACCTGCAAGCAATCAAAACACATAGTTAATATTTGCATAATTAAGGTAATCAATAAAATTGGAATTACATATCTTACCTCGTGTTTCAGACCTGAAATATATATCATACCTGCTTTACATACTCACCAGAGCTAAGGTTACAAACAAATACCCAAGTAGAAGCAAATAATCACAGTGAACAAATAATCATGCGATGAAGATATAACATCCACATATCTTTTTTAAAAAATAAAAAAAAAAAAAAAAAAGTTTACACAGAATAACAGATTAACACTAAGTTAATCAATCAAGCAGTCAAAAACATATGTAACAAATGCATAAATGACTCCAGGAAATAATCTTACTGCCCTTATTCTATCCCATTTTGTGTTGCTCACACCTCAAGAACACATATTTCCTCTCATCTTCCACCATGCTCACTAGACTGATCATTCAGCATATGTCTAATCTGTAAATCACAATAGATTCTAAGTACATGGGATAATCCTCTATTACCACATGACTTCTCCCAACCTAAGCGGATAATAGGTCTTCATCTAATAAAAGTGATAGAAGTGTCTATATCACGCTCCATTTGATCAGGGTCTTTTACAGACAAAAGATACCAGACATTTAATCACATCTTCACTCATGATCCAAATGTCACACTTTACGTCCCGGTACAAACCACCAATGTACCCCTAGTTATCTATACTTCACCTTACCAAAATACATAAAATACATACAATACACTACTAATGCATCTCAACACACCATGCATGAAAACAATTAGACAAAGTAATCAAATTTTCCTCAAATTTATGCAAATGCACATATCCAACACATTGAAATGCAACATACAATCATGCAACAGAATTAAGTAATCACACACTTGCAGAAAGGATTTCACACAGATGCACATGCAGTAACTAGATTTATTCTCAATAAACTTCGCTAAGGTCATCACTTGACCCTATAGCTACATTCTTATGCAAATGCACATATCCAACACATTGAAATGCAACATACAATCATGCAACAGAATTAAGTAATCACACACTTGCAGAAAGGATTTCACACAGATGCACATGCAGTAACTAGATTTATTCTCAATAAACTTCGCTAAGGTCATCACTTGACCCTATAGCTACATTCGCCTCACATCTCATCTTATCCTTCTTGGGACAATAAAGTGCCTAGCTTTATCATAACTGTAACACCGTCTCCCACTGGACTTATCCCAACCCTTGCCCTTCTTATCACCCTCATCACTCAAGTTACTACCGTCTTGAGTCTTGATTAAATTTCATTCTACTCCTCATTACATGTATTTCACTATTCATCTTATCTTCTTTTTCAGCCTTAATTTTTCATCTTCTTACTCTTTAAGGGAATCTATTACAATCTCAGGTGTTAATGTATCCCTAGCATATTTAATTGTATTTTTAACCTCCCTATATGAGTTAAGCATAGAGTTTAGTAGAATAATGACCTTATATGTTTCAGACTCCTTATCACAGTTAACGTCTTGAACAAGTTTGTTAAAAACATACAAGTTGTCATCAAGATAATTTGAAGAATCCATTTTAAAATTGAAAATCTTTTGAGTAGGTACAACTTATTAGGAGTGGATTTAATCAAATATAAGTCTTCCAACTTTTTCCAAAGTTCATTTATGGTATCAAGTTTGCCATTTTTTCTCAAAACAGCATCAAGTTTAAAATAATTGAAGTGTAAGCAAGTTCGTCATATTCTTCTTTTTGTTCTTTTAACAAAGCTTCAGAAAAATTGTCATCGATGGCTTTTGAAACATTTTGTTGAACCAAAATTCTCCTCATCTTTTGTTGCCAAATTGAAAAGTACTTTCCATTGAAAATTCCCATTTCAAAGTGTGAAGTCATTTTGAAAGTAGAACCACCAAAATGCACAATTAGGTAACACAGGGTAATCCTAAGGTTACAATATATGTTGTTCTAAATTGTCGGGGTTTCGTAAGATTCGAGATCTCAGTATTGGTTAAACGGGTAAAGATTAGATGTTCTAATGGAATGATCAATGCAACACAAAGAGATGTTAACAAAATCAATTTCTCTCACAATATAGTCTTACAAGTCACTTGATGGTAATTAAAATACAGAGTCAATAATCAGCTTGCAATTAAATCCAACACTTCAAATATGACAAACAATTCTTAATTTTCTAGTATAAGCGATGGTTACTCCTTCACGATAACCTCAATTTTAATGTCACCCACGCGATGGCGCGCTAATGTTGAAATTTAAGCGGGATAAGCCAATTGATCAGAGAGGACTAATCTGAGTCCTTAAATAACGAGAGATACGAATTTGCTACTTTAGGACCACTACCATTTGCCCTCCAACAATCGTGGCAACCAATCAAGCAAAAATTGAATCATGAATGTGCAGGGGCAAAATTGTCCAGATTTTACTGTATAACCTGAAACAGAAAACTAATAACACCAAATCATTAGAAATATTCTGCCTGAAGGAGCCGTCTTGAGAATTGCACCCACAAGCGCAACGTCGGAATCACCATGCTTTGTCGTCGGCCATCTTAGACCTCACTCGCCACACATCTAGGACTGTCTCCACCTGCACGTCTCAAGTCATATTTCTGTTTCACCAATGGATCTCTGGATTGCCTGAAAATCGAGCTTACAGGTTCCCTTTTTACAAAAAATCTGGGTAGAATTTGATCTAGTTTCTACTCCAATTTTGTCGATTGTTGGGTTTGTTCTTGGCTGAAAATTCCCCACCAACATGGCTCTAATACCATATGTAAAGAATGAATTGATCACCAAGGTTTTCCAGTTAGTTTTATCAAACCAACCGAGATTGACACCACCAAATAACAATCCGATCTCCTACAACTTTCACCCGAACTCCGGTTGCTTTGTATTGCCTACAAAGGACACAAAAGTGAGAGGTTATTGCCGCCACATAGCAACCACAAAGGCAGAAGAAAGAACTGGACAAAGAAGAAAAATCAAGGCAGGTAGTAGCATTAAGCAGAGGAAGAGCAGTCTGTGTTTTTTCTTCAAGGCAATAACTTATTTCTCAAAGCAAGGAGGCTGCCCATATATAGTAGTAAATTAGGCTTTTAGGTTAAGTAATGGAGTAGGCCCAAAAAGGAAGCAATAAATAACCAATAAGTGGGCCAAACACCAAAAACCATCCAATGAGTGAAGGGTCGGGCCATGAGCAGCTCTAATTGAATTAGGCTCCTCCTAATGGCCCAAAATAGTTGTAGGCTCCAGTTGTTCCATTTGATGTGTCGATATTTCACTTCAGTCATTTGGTCGATGCCGACTGAATAACTAATAATGATTCATTGCTTGGGGAGTTATTGGGTTTAACCCCAACATAAAGTGTATTATTTGGTGTGCTAGTCTTGGTAGATGAAAATATTGGACAATTTTCCTTAGATATCTTCAACTGCATATATGATATTTGCTGACCATTAATCTACTGGTCTTAATGTTTCTTTCAGTAGATTTGTTTGGTTTATAAATTTTTGAGCCAGACCACCCAATTCCTTTAGCCTAGTTGGACAAGCTAGCAGTTTGGTTCCATTGATTTTCTATTTTGCTATATGTTTGGGTTATTACAAACACCCTAAAAAGAATGTCTTGCTGTCAATATACGTATTCTTAACTGATTATTTTTCTGGTCAGATTATAGAAGATATATGACCCCGCTTCCTTTTTTCTCTGTTTTTTTCTTTTGGGCTGAAGCAAACCTCAACCTTGCAAGTGTCAATGTTTTGCTTAGTTATATATTCTATTACGTCCCACTTCTTTCTCTACAATTTATTACAAGAAGTTTAGCAAGTTGCATCTACTCATTGTATTTATCTCATTATTTGAATGCTTTATGAGTATCAAATTTACATTGTGATGAAATTTTTCTACTATCATTTTTGGAAAATCTTTTTGGAGAATTTTAATTTCTTCCTCCGCAAATCTAAATTTCACTCTTTCCTCGATCGATGAATATGCCGCAAATCTAAATCTCACTCTTTCCTCGATAGATGAATATGGACCTTCCAGTCTCAGAGGGTCATTTATGCAATATGGGAAAGATGATTGAAGAAATGGAAAGTAAGCTGAGGAACTCCTTGGACCAGGTATACACGACTTTGCGTTAGCATGCATACATTCACTGGGTCTTATTTCACAACACTGACAAATCATAAGAGCTGTCGAACTTAATTGCAACAGTTTATTTTCCATCTCTTGTCTGTGATATATTTTTATGTAGATACTGACCTCAAGTTGAATTCGGAAAAAAATTGCAGGTCTATTTTGGGAAAACAAAAGAGATGGTTTGTACTCTACGACCTCCTCCTGAACTGGTCCAAATGAAACTGCCTGACAGCTGAAATTTGTGCTACTTAGCACATTTGAACATTTACCTTTCTTTCCTCGTATGTTTATAGACATTGTAGCGTTGCTCCTAAATGTTTCGATTACCAATCCAGTTTTTTCTTGAATCGAACTCTGCAGATTCATATATTTGTTCAACAAGAATTATGATTATGAAATTGGAGAATTTTTTTTTTGGTTTCATGTTTATTTCGCTAAGGTTTATATGTTTTTTGGAGCATATGCGTGGTATATGTACTTGGTTCTTTGCAAAGTGAATTGGATCTAAGGTTTAGCCAAACATGCCCTAAGGAGGAGTGAGCGAATGTTATTTCTATGAGTAATGCTATGTAGCCTTCATTGAGATTGCAATCACAATTTAGGTAGCATTAAATGATATGTTAAATGAAAGGTGGAATTAAATAAGTTATTTAATTTCACTTATCAATTAGAGTCACATTAGCACAACTTAGATTAGGGTTATGGCTATATAACATTACTCTATTTTCCTTTGATGTTTCACTAAAAAAAAATAAAAAAAGGGGGTAGAATTTCATCAACGAGCGATCTTCCAGTGAAATTTCAATTGAGTCACAAAATATTATTTTATCTTAATTGGATTATTAAACTTCAACTTAGTTTCAATTTGATAGCTTGAACTTCAATTTAGTTTTAAATTTTACAACTATCGCTTGCCTATTCGAAATTGATGAAAATTTCTCAAACCATTGTGTGATATGTCAAATTACATTTATACTACAACAGTAAGTGTTAAAATATGAGAAACATTCCTTTTAGCTTTATATCTATAGATATTTTCATAACTAGATCGTTTTACTATCTTTATTTTTAGAATTTCACTTAACATGTGTTTGATTGGTATGAAAAATGTTTTCTAGAAAAAATATTTTCATTGTGTCGAGGGAAACAAAAATCTACTTCTTCAAAAGAAAATGTTTTGGGAAAATTAGGCATGTTTTTAAAAGTTGGAAATTATTTTTTATGAAGAAATAGCAATTAAATGCTTCAAAAGTTGAAATTCAAGTGAAAAAATCCATTTTTTCATGAAAAATTTTGCTAATGAAACCCACCTTAAAAGTTTAGTGACCACAAATAAAATTTATTCAATAAAAAGCTCTCCTTAAATGAACAAATGCCACCAAATTCTAAACCCACGCTACTCTGTAACAAAGACCCCGCGCCCCAGCCCTGCCTCTCCGCTGACTGCAGGGTTTTCTCTTCACCTTCCGCAAGTCTTTACCGATTTCCATAATCAAGATCTCCTCTCTTTGTTCTCTCTCCGGTATCTTAACAACCCAAATAGTTTTTTCTTTCTCAATACCTCTTTTTGGAGAGAAAGAGATGAAGGTGACAGTGGAATCGGGTTCCGGATGTTTTGGGGACGGAAAACGTTTTCCTCCGGGTTTCCGATTTCATCCCACCGATGAAGAGCTCGTACTTTACTACCTCAAGAAGAAGATATGTAAACGGAAGCAGCGCTTTGACGTCATCAGAGAAATCGATGTTTATAAGTGGGACCCAGAAGAGTTGCCTGGTACGATTTTCCATTATTATACCCCCTTTTTTTTTTAACTGCTGGGTTGATAAGGATTTTACCTGTTTTTATGGTCTTCATTTGATTTGTAGGCGTTTATGCAATCGTTGACTTCGCGTTTTATTATCTGGGCTATTTTTATTTTGTTTTATTCTATCTGGGCTAACTTGTGTTTAATGGGATTCTCTTATGGATTAATTTCTTAGGATCGTTTCGTGTGTTACAGATCTGTGGTGGATTGATGGTTGATCAATAATTGAAGTCAACGTGATGTATGATTAGATTTGGGTTATTTTTTGGCAGGGTAATTTGATTTTAATTGTGTTGAAAAATTATTTGCTTGATTTATGTGGGCTCTTTTTCGAGATTGAATTGAATATTTTTGCAATTTCAGTATGTTCTGAGCTTGGTCGGATTTTTGAAAATTCGATTTCAGATTGTTGATTTCCTAATATCAGGAGGTGAAGAACCAATATCGAACTTTACGAAAAAAAAGAAAAAAGAAAAAGAATGGACGTGTGTTTGTGACAAAGGGGATTAATTACATAGTATCATCTGTTTTTATGTTATATGGACTGAAACATATAAAATTTGAAAATTAATTATGGAGTCACGAGTAATCGAATCTGTATTTACTGGTTTCCCAGGATTGATAAGATTTCCTTTTTGAAAATTTGCATAATTCAACTTATGATTCTACCTGCTTGCTTCTTTTAAAACTTAATTTTGATAAACTGTCCAGCTTTTTAGATTTCAGTACTTTGTTTGCTAAAGGCTGAATGTAAGGGGTGCAAGTGTCAAAAGAACAGGATGATCAATGGTTTGTCTATGTTACTGCGTTCTTGGTCTATTACCTTGTTAGTTCTATGCTAAATGTTTTCCCACTTTTCACTTTTTATTGTTTTGGCTTTAGAACCTAGTTGATGGATTTTGTGCGTATTTGAAATCCAGGGCTATCTAAATTGAAAACTGGTGACAAGCAATGGTTCTTCTTTAGCCACAGAGATAGGAAGCCAAATGGAGCACGTTCAAATAGGGGAACAAGGCATGGATACTGGAAGGCGACTGGGAAGGATCGTGTCATCACATGCAATTCTCGCCCCGTTGGGGTGAAGAAGACCCTGGTCTTCTATAAAGGTCGTGCACCGAGAGGAGAACGTACGGACTGGGTGATGCATGAATATACCATGGATGAAAAGGAGCTGAAGAGATGCAAGGATGCACGGGATTGCTATGCTCTGTACAAGGTGTATAAGAAGAGTGGGCCTGGTCCCAAAAACGGTGAGCAATATGGTGCACCTTTTAGGGAAGAGGAATGGGATGATGATGAGCTAGTTGTCAATGGCCTTATTGACAATGAGCACTCTGCAATGCAAGTTAATGAAACTGTGTCTATTGATAATACCGGGGTTAATTTTCAACAACAATCGCCATTACTTGACCTTGAGGAGCTCCTCAACCGTGATGATGAACCTGTAAATGAAACTGTGTCTTCTGATAATACCAGGGTTAATTTTCAACTGTTATCCCCATTACATGATCAAGAGGAGTTCCTTAACTGCAATGATGATGAACCCGTAATTTTTCCGCCTCTTGCTCTTGACAATGACTGTATAGCGGAACATTTTGTGGGTGAGGAAGAAACCCCGAGCAACTTGGTTGATCATGGTTTGAGGAACATTGATTTACCTGAACAAAGCACAGTCCTCCAACCATGCAGCAGACAACGTAATGAGCAAGCCAGTTTTGACCTGGCACAGTCGAGCATAAGGCCATTACAAGAACACGACGTACCCCTGTCTACTTTAGCTCCAAATGATCATGGCCAAGAGCTTCATACAGCTGAACAGGACCTTGAAGATTTTCTTGAACTGGATGATCTAATTGGTCAGGAACCAGCCTCTCAAACTCTTGATAAGGCAACAGACATCATGGAAGAGCTGCAGTTTGACGGGTTGAGTGAGCTTGACCTTTATCAAGATGCAGCCACGTTCCTTCAAGAGACTGAATGGGAGCAGATTTCTCGACCATATATGAATAATTTAGAGAATGAATTCATAAACCCAAATTTGAATTCTGGTCTAAACAACAATCTTGTGAATGAATCTGTGAATTACCAGGTGCTCGAGTCCCCTTTAAATAAAGTCATTTGTCAGCCGTGGATGCATGAGCAAGGATTCAGCCATTTTTCTGCTACGGAAGCAAATCTGAGGGTCATTCCTTCACCTATTTCAGGTACTGAATTAATTGCAAACGTCAATGATGACATTTTTGCGCAGCTTGAATGTATCTGTAATCTCAGTTAATTGCTCATATATTTGTACAACATTAAAATCTCTTTTCACTAATATCGAAGAGCTCCTGTTGATCAGATGGATGGTATGGGAAGACCATGTCATCATCCACACGGCAAGAACTCTCGTGCCCAAGTGGAAATGGGGGGAGTTTGAGCCAGCTTGAAGAGCTCTTCTTCTAATCACATAATGTTAAGATTGTTTTCTGATTTACCAAGTTTTCATATGTTTAGGTGTGGTACATTATAGTAATTCTTTCAATCATTCTACCGAAGCAAATCAAAATCAAAGTGGCGAACAAGATGACGGTACAAACTCGTGGTTCTCTTCTGCTCTTTGGGACTTCGTGGATTCTATACCTACGACTCCTGCTTCAGCTTCTGAAAGTGCTTTGGTAAATAAGGCTTTTGAGCGAATTTCTAGCTTCCGTAGGATAAGGTTGAACGCTGGAAACGCTAACGTTGCTACAGGTAATAATACCTCTGCAACTTCAAGAAGCTCAAGCAAACCGATAAGTATTTTGTGTTTTTCTTTGCTTGGAGTATTATGCGCCATCTTATGGGTGCTGATTGGAACATCTGTAAGAATAAATGGTTGATATGTAGCTATCTATACTTATATGTAAATACTAAGTTTTGATTTGGTACTTCATTAGTATCAAAATAATGACCAGTCAATCGCCTAAATGCATTGGCGGTGACTAAATTTTTAGCAAAATTTCATGTTAATTTCATTTTGTTTTAAGTTGGTCATTGAACTTAAGTTTTGTTATGTCGATTGAATTGACTAATGGAAAAGGTGATGTGGCAGTCTAATTTTTTGTCAACTACATTGCAACATTACCAAACATGCCATTAATGCATCATGTCATACACAGTGGATTGAAAATGACCATGATTCTATCATCAAAGTGTAACAAAGGGCGTGGGCATGTTTGACTAAGCTTAAAAGTACCTTAAATAATTTTTTACTTCTGAATATGTTTGGATGTCTTGGATTTATGAAAAAGTAAGAGAGCGATTTTAGTAAAAATTAATTAGTTTCCATTTTGACTGATTAAAATTTGTTTACTTATTGACGGGTTGAGTGAGCTTGACCTTTATCAAGATGCAGCCACGTTCCTTCAAGAGACTGAATGGGAGCAGATTTCTCGACCATATATGAATAATTTAGAGAATGAATTCATAAACCCAAATTTGAATTCTGGTCTAAACAACAATCTTGTGAATGAATCGGTGAATTACCAGGTGCTCGAGTCCCCTTTAAATGAAGTCATTTGTCAGCCGTGGATGCATGAGCAAGGATGCAGCCATTTTTCTGCTATGGAAGCAAATCTGAGGGTCATTCCTTCACCTACTTCAGGTACTGAATTAATTGCAAATGTCATTGATGACATTTTTGCGCAGCTTGAATGTATCTGTAATCTCAGTTAATTGCTCATATATTTGTACAACATTAAAATCTCTTTTCACTAATATCGAAGAGCTCCTGTTGATCAGATGGATGGTATGGGAAGACCATGTCATCATCCACACGGCAAGAACTCTCGTGCCCAAGTGGAAATGGGGGGAGTTTGAGCCAGCTTGAAGAGCTCTTCTTCTAATCACATAATGTTAAGATTGTTTTCTGATTTACCAAGTTTTCATATGTTTAGGTGTGGTACATTATAGTAATTCTTTCAATCATTCTACCGAAGCAAATCAAAATCAAAGTGGCGAACAAGATGACGGTACAAACTCGTGGTTCTCTTCTGCTCTTTGGGACTTCGTGGATTCTATACCTACGACTCCTGCTTCAGCTTCTGAAAGTGCTTTGGTAAATAAGGCTTTTGAGCGAATTTCTAGCTTCCGTAGGATAAGGTTGAACGCTGGAAACGCTAACGTTGCTACAGGTAATAATACCTCTGCAACTTCAAGAAGCTCAAGCAAACCGATAAGTATTTTGTGTTTTTCTTTGCTTGGAGTATTATGCGCCATCTTATGGGTGCTGATTGGAACATCTGTAAGAATAAATGGTTGATATGTAGCTATCTATACTTATATGTAAATACTAAGTTTTGATTTGGTACTTCATTAGTATCAAAATAATGACCAGTCAATCGCCTAAATGCATTGGCGGTGACTAAATTTTTAGCAAAATTTCATGTTAATTTCATTTTGTTTTAAGTTGGTCATTGAACTTAAGTTTTGTTATGTCGATTGAATTGACTAATGGAAAAGGTGATGTGGCAGTCTAATTTTTTGTCAACTACATTGCAACATTACCAAACATGCCATTAATGCATCATGTCATACACAGTGGATTGAAAATGACCATGATTCTATCATCAAAGTGTAACAAAGGGCGTGGGCATGTTTGACTAAGCTTAAAAGTACCTTAAATAATTTTTTACTTCTGAATATGTTTGGATGTCTTGGATTTATGAAAAAGTAAGAGAGCGATTTTAGTAAAAATTAATTAGTTGTTTCCATTTTGACTGATTAAAATTTGTTTACTTATTACAAGTCGCACAAATTGTAAAGATTAGAGTGATCAAACAGTCGAAATTAAATTTATAAATAATAAAGATTGGCCGATAAGTTTATCCGTCTAAAGTTAGTCCAAAGTGCTCATGACCATTATATTCTACCTGCCTAACCTTTCACACTGACTCACTGAGGTACCATATATCGGAAAGTGCTTCATATGAAAATGGTCCAAAAGAAAAAGAAACATGGAGCCATTTGGTATCAAAATTTTAGTTAAATTCATGTCGTTTTACAGTGCAAGGAGCTACAGTTGTTGACTGAATGGCTTAAAATTATCAACGTACTCGTTTAACATAAAATTTATTCTTCTTTTAGAAGGGCATTTCTAATAACTTGATTAATGTTCAGTCAGTAATTACTAATTAATGCACAAATGGGACCCACTGATCTTTTCAATGGTATCGTGTCAAATGTTTACTTGGATACAACAAAATTAGCCGTATCTTCGTTACTTTTCTACCTTTAAGATGTCTTTAATCCTTGAAATGTTACTTTTCTCATAAGTTGATGCATATTATATATCAGCAAGAGCATCACTAAAGTGTAATGCTGTGGTGAACCTGATAATTTATATAAAGCATGATATTTTTTTAAATTTTTTTGGTGTCAAGGTATACGTGAAAGGATTACGAAAAACTTGTGCCTGTTTTTGGACTTGTAATATTGTTTCATACTAGATAATCTGGGAGGGAAAAATGTTCTTGAAGAGATTGAAATTGATAAGGAACCAGAAATGCTCCATTTGAGGCCGATTGAATGGCCAAATAGCTTTCACCAAAGGTGATCACGCACCAACCCGAGCGATGTAATGATTCAAAGAAAGATCTTCGTCCAAACAAAACATATAAAATAATAATGCATCGACCTAATATCGTTAAACTTGTAAATTATTAATAGTACGAACGAGTCTTGACAAAAAGAATAATAGTCAAAATAAATAAATAAAATAACTGCACACCCTCCCAAAAAATATATCTTTTCCCATTTGGAGCCACCTTCTTTACCCCACAATAAATAAAGGAAATTAGATAGTTTTGTTGAAATGAATTCTTTGTTTTGACTAAATAGTCATGAATCACTCAACAAATTTTGTTTGGGCTTCATTTTAATCTAATTTTGGGAGAAAATGTATTTTGGACTAGTGATTTCTGAAAAATGTGTGATTAAAAGGTAAGGTAAAATTTAGAGTTTACTTGTAATATTATTTTATGAATGAATGTGTGTTTGAAAATAAATTTTGAAAAAAAAATGTATTTTGAAAATAATTGAACTCAAACATGGGACAAATTGGCCAATCCAGTTTCTATATTTTCACTTTACTAACGTATTTATAACTTTCTTTTTTGCTTTTTTCTTTTCTTTTAGAGAAATATTAAATGTTATAAAAATTGAATCAGATCGATTGATTCAATCGGAAAAATCAGGAACCGCTCTATAATCCGATTATGTTTAAACTTAAAAATCCACTTCACCCTTGTTTGAGTATTTTTTATTTTATTACTCTTTATTTTTTATACTCACTTTTAACAATACATTCACAGAATGTACGCCCAAAAATTTTCCTAACTTTTAAAAACATGTTTTTCGAAAAAAAACACTATTTAAAATATTAATTTTCTCGTGACACTTTTATAATGGTCAAAAAAGGGGCTTAAAATCGGTCAATTGGCCTCTTGAATTAAGAGGCCCAGAATAATTGCTCTTCAAGAGGCCCAGAATAATTGCTCACCCAACTGTTAGCCCATCTTTTACACACGGCATTTCCTCTGATTTTGACTTTTGAGAATTCGATGAGGTCATCGTTTTGGCTTTGGTCAAATCAAACTCCAATTTTTGTTTTTGCAATCATTCAGTCATTCACGTTTGTTCTTCTCTAATTACAATCCTATTCCATCATCCTATGATATTTTATTGAGTTAACTCATTATTTTCTATCTTATTTTAATTAAATATCTCAATTAACAATATTATACTTTTATCTAATATTTTAACTATTTGAAAATATATTTATTTATCTTTATTTAATTATCCAGTTCAATCTCAATTTCGCCCCAATTTAACCCTTGATCCTTTCACTTTTTTGTATCAATACCTAGGTTGAGCCTTCGTCTGGCCTCTATTATTTGGATTTATAATCGGAGGAATAATATTTTTTTGAAGATTGTGTGGTACAAAAGTTTTCGATTTAAGTGTAATATTATTTTATTGAAAATTGTATGGTTGAAGTAGGAGAGAAAAAAAATTAAATTAAATTAAAAAGTTTTAAAGTGGGCCAAACGGGCTTAAACCCATTAATTTTAAAACCACCAAATGTAAAATGTTATCTGTTCATTGGTAGAGTGAGCATCCTCATTGACACCTGCCAAAATTCGTCGTCCCACTAGTCTCCTTCCTACAATTTTTTCCCACAAACAATGGCCGGCCGGCAGCCAATTAAATTCGGAATTCTGGGTTGCGCCGGGATTGCCCGAAAAGTCTCTCGGGCAATATCTCTCTCCCAATCCTCCACCCTTGCCGCCGTGGGTAGCCGATCGTACGAAAAAGCTTCCAAATTCGCCAAAGATAATGGTTTTACTGATTCGGCCCGGGTCTACGGCTCCTACGATGCCGTTTTGGATGACCCAGAAGTCGATGCCGTCTATATGCCACTGCCCACCAGCCTTCACGTGAAGTGGGCAGTTCTAGCTGCCCAGAAGAAGAAGCATTTGCTGTTGGAAAAGCCTGTGGCGCTGAATGTTGAAGAATTGGATGTGATTCTCGAGGTGTGTGAATCCAATGGAGTGCAGCTCATGGACGCTACCATGTGGATGCACCACCCAAGGACGGCTAAAATGAAAGAATTCATCTCGAATTCTCACCTCTTTGGTGAACTGAAATTTGTAAGTCCACTTCGCATTTCTTGTTTGTTATATAATTTTTAGTTGATTTGAAGCATATTAATTTTGTTAAAATTGTTTCTAAAGTATGTGCTTTTTATGATTTTGCATTTCCATTTTTTTATTCTTTCAATTAGTCATGTAAATTTTGTTAGTAAGAAAGAATTGAGAATAATTTTCTTTCAAGATGGGAAGGATTGTGTGAAACAGTTCAATTAGTGTCTGAGCAAGGTACCAAATAATCCCTTTTTAACTTGTAAATGAGAAACCAAGAATCTATTCAACCACATTTGGAACAAATAATTACTTAAAAAGTAAATTTGACTTTCTTTTAAGCTAAGCCAGACATGCTATAGTTTCTTAGCAGCACAAAGTAGAGTAGATTCATGTTGTGCTTCATCTTTTGAAAGCCTTGAGGATGAAAAATGCTCCTGCAGCTTACTTTTTGGAACAGGAACTTAGATTCTCTTTACTTTTTGGTATTCATTTTGTAACAGTCTTTTCAATTTGATGTACTTGTTTATTTTGCAGATACATAGCTGCCTTACATTTGCAGGAGGTCAAGATTTTCTCGAGAATGACATTCGTGTGAAGCCGGATCTAGATGCACTCGGGGCTCTTGGAGATGTTGGATGGTATTGCATCAGATCAATTTTGTGGGCTGTTGATTTTCAACTGCCCAAATCCGTACTTGCATTGCATGGCCCTGTTTTCAACAAAGCAGGAGTGATCCTAGAATGTGGTGCTTCTTTGCACTGGGAAGACGGGAAAGTAGCAACCTTCCATTGCTCATTTTTTACCGACACTGTAATGGATGTAACAGTTGTTGGAACAAATGGCACTTTGCATGTTCATGACTTTGTAATCCCATTTGTGGAGGACAATGCTTCCTTCACAACAGCTGTGAAATCGGGATTCACAGAGCTGGTGACGGGGTGGGAGCCAAAGCCGAGTGAACACATTATCATGACAGAACTTCCTCAGGAAGCCCTTATGGTGAGGGAGTTTTCTAGGTTGGTTGGAAGCATTAAATTTGATGGTTTGAAACCGGACAAGAAGTGGCCTATCCTTAGTAGGAAGACGCAGCTTGTTATGGATGCAGTGAAGGTGTCAATCGAGAGAGGTTTTGAACATGTTGAGGTAATGAGCTGATCATGCTTTTTTTGCATGCAGTTGGAAATATAACCTCGATTTATGATTTGAGTTATTCGATTATGGTCTTTGTTAGGTGTCTTTATATCTCGAGACTTATAGTTCTTCCACAAAAATGTTAGGCGTCTTTTGTACCTCGAGACTTATAGTTCTTCCATGAAAACTTGGTACATTCTCAGTATTAGGAGTTGAGGGTGATTTTCCGACTGAATAAAGAACTCAGTTTGGGCTAGATGATTGTGTTCTTTTTATTTATGGTTTTGTGGCTTTTCATTTCATTAATATTGGAACCTTTTTAATTGAGCTATTAAGAAACAAATGAAATATAAACCTAAATTGTGTCATCGACTTGATGTTCTAGAATCTGAGTGGTAGATAAAGACGTGGCTAAACGATGTCTCCTTCGACAATTTGTTGGGTAATATGCTTGTACCTGATAATTCAATTTAGAGAGAACGAAATGTTATTTTACAAACGGTCTTCTTTTTTATATATGAGGAAAGCGCCTTTTTTTGAGTAGAAATGGAGGAGAGCAGGAAAGAGAAAAGGGTAAGTCAAAGAGAGCCAACCTACCCAAGACCTACTGCTGGCCCTTCATTTCTTCTTAAGTGCGAGCCGCAGATCGGGAAAGGAAGCATTCAATGATGCCGGAGACTTTGGGCTTGGCTTGGAATGTGGAATGCTTATGTAGCTGACCATCGAGTCTGTGTTCATAAGCTCGTCGTGTGCATACATATGCAGCCCTAGACGAATTGAGCATACATGATTCAGGTATATAATCTTAGCATTCAGCAGCCATGCAACACATCGCAAATGAAACTAATGTTCAGTCAGATTCTCTTGCTTAACTGCAGTCTTCATCTCCATCCACGAGCGGAACCGAGCCATTTTTTGAAGTGCAAATTGAATGATATTGCCCATATTTTGTTGAATAATGCTAGAAAAACTGCACATATTGGTTTACAAAATATCACATAACAACATTTTACTGAATTTTGGACCAAAAACAAAGTTAAAATTGCTAATCAGGTGTTGTCATCTCAACACCTATAAAATTGTCTCTACAATTTTTCTATACGTAGTATTATTCTTGTATTTTGTTATTGTTTCGCGCGGGTTAAGTCGCTAACAATTAAAAAGGATCAGACGGTTGTGTAAGGAACGAAACCTCTTGAGACAAAGTCCCAAAAAGGGGTGTTCTTTTATTGGCGATGAACTTTACAATTGGGAATGAAAAACAACGTGCCTCCAAGGGGCGCAAGCACACGAGTTACAGAAAAAAAAATGTTTAAGTCTAAAAGCTAAGGAAATGAAAATTACATATTCTCTGTTCGAGAGTTTTGGATTCGGTCCTTTGCTTCTGCATCCTTTCTCCCTTTTATACCTCATAGACGATCTCTTTGTGATTAACTACCCTAAGAGCTGCTTGATCGTCCTATAACTACCTACTTTCTTTGTAGTGGCCATTTTGTCATGAAACTGCCTTTTAACTGCTGCCATTATCTTTCATCGTTCAATTGCTTTCAATTGAATTCCTTGAGTCGTGGAACGTGATAAGGCTACTTTAACAACTGCCTTGATAACTGCATTCCTTGATAACCACGATGCATTATATTTGTTGATACCTTGGGCGACTTGAAGGTTTGGGCGAGAGTAGAATAACAGCTCTAAGGCGACCGTATGACATTCCATTCGTTCAGATTCAGGGCGACTTGCAAACTTGGGCGATGGCGTTACCGCATTCTTGGGCCCCTTATTTGGGCCTTTACCTTGATTCGTTCGATTGGACTTCGTTCTTTGGGCTATCCGATTTGGGGATCCTTCAATTGGGCTTTACTCCTTGGGCTGTTCGATTTGGGCTGAATTTTTATGTGTCAACAATTACCCCCCCAATATGGCAGAATTAATAATAATTATTGAATTTTGCCATATTCACTTCATGTTTCCAGCGACGTTCGAAGTTCCCAAGAATTTCAATCATTGTTTCCTTCTATAACTTGAAGAAGTGCGTCGTTTTGCAAACCCTTATAAACCCCAAACACGCTATTTTACTGCTACCAAACCACGCCTCATATTTTCTGCATCTCTTTCACAATTCACTGTTTATCTTTTGCTTCCTTGTTACGTAACCCTAAAAAGCTTCGTTCATTCTCCAATGGCTGCTTCACAATTTCAAGCTAGCGATTTCTTTAGTTTTGATGACTTTCAGAAACTTCTGAGTCGCCCATACATAACCCCAAGTTTTCTCGCGCCTGCCGACGTTGGACGTAATGAGTTTTACTTGGGTCCTTTCTTCAACAATGCGGAGGCAGTTGAACAGGCGGCGGTGGGTCAGCTGTTTCCTTGCACTCATGGCCCTCCTTTTCTAAACTCTCTGCCGCTGGGGCCACTTCGCGAAAAGGTATTCGCACTTGGCCTAAATCTGATGTAACTTTTCGTAGGTGGCACGCTCGCCTTGTGAGTCATGGTCCTACTAAGGCACTTTTTGATAGCGCTAGGATTTCTGATTTGTTAGAAGTCTCTATTCGCCCCCTACTTTTGATTCAGCGCTCTTTCCGATTGCTTTGAGTTTTTGGTCCCCTGAGTACAACACCTTTATTTTTCCTCTTGGCCCCATGTCTATTACGTTAAGGGATGTTCAGGCCCTGGTGAATTTACCACCTTTGGGCGATACCATTTTCCCAGGTATCTTAGTTTCTGGTGGCGCCCCACAGTTCGGTAAAAACTACACTGATTCTTATTCAAGCCTGCAGACCCTCCATAATCATTCGAGCGCTGAGCCTACCCATGCTGAGCGAGTGGCCTTTCTTTTAGTTTGGCTTTGTAAATATGTTTTGTGTGTGCCAAGTATAAAGCCTTCTCTAAGTTATTTACCTATAGCGCACGAATTGGCGCGTGGCAGGCCTTTGAATTTATGTTCTTTGTTTTTGGCTGCCCTTTATAGAGGTATGGCTTTTCTTCAAGCTCAATTGAAGAATGGTGCATCTCCCACTGGCAGTGGACCTCTTTGGTTTACTCAACTGTGGTTGAGATCCTATTTTCCATCGCTTGATGCTCCATCCATTTTTCGTCCTTCTGCTAGTTGTTACGGGCTAGCCATGGAGCCCTTAACTCCTGTAAATATGTCCAGAAGGGACATTTTTTCATTCTTTTATTCTTTAGATTCAATTTCTTCCTTCTTTCCTTTCCCTCCTTTTTTGAATCCAAACTATGTACATCCCCCTTCTACTATAGATAGCGCGAGCACCTCCCTGCTCATTTGGATCCAGTTTTTAACTGGGAGGGAGCTTTTCCATGATATCTTAACTGGGACCAATGCCAAAACGGGGGTAGAAATTTATGCTCCCCAATTTTTTGCTCGTCAGCTTGGTTTTGGCCAAACTTGGCCTGTTCCTCTTTGCTATTTGAAGAGCTTAATTGATCGTTTTCATACCATTAATAAGGCGGAAGCAGAGGCTATAAACGTTCGCAACCTCCATTTATCAAGCCACTTTTCATTAGCCCCTTTTAATTCTTGTCATGCTACTCACCCTCTTTTTGAACAACTCTGGCCATCGGTGAAGCGCAGATTATTTGCGACTGAGGCCAATCGTGCCTTTCATTCATTAGACCAACCGAGTATTTCTTCTCCTCCTCCTGTTTTGGTCACTCCTTTGTCTATTCGGAGCCCCACTCCTTCTCGTCGTGCTAAACAATCTGCTCGTCCATCTTCTTCTCTCCCCGCCAGGCCTACTACGGCCAAGAGTGCTCCAAGCCGCAAACGGCCAGCCTCAGCATCTCCCATTCTGGAGGATGATGTTGATGATGATGTCCCTCTTATCGTCAGGAGGAAGGTAATCAAATCGGTCTATTTACAAGTATGCTTTTTCCCATTTGATACTTTTCTGTGTACTGATGATATTTTGGACTTTTCAGAAAAGTTCAGCCTCCCCTTCGAAGGCTTTGACATCGACTACTCCTGCTCCATCATCCTCTGCTGAGACTACTTCATCCAAACCGGTTGGTGATGGGACCATGCTTAAAGATACATCTTCAGTCCCAGAGTCTTCATCACAACCCATGGATGAGCCACCTTCTTCCCAGGGTGTCGACCCCCCAATCTTCGAAGCAGAAGGTAATTCAGTTTTTGATGTCTTACCTTTGCTCGCGCTATTGGTTTCTGATTTGTTGTTCTTGAACTTTGCAGATACTCTTATGAGTCCGCCCGTTGTGGTAACATCGTCTCGCTCGGACAAGGGGAAGTCCTCACGAATGGATGAGTCGTTGGTGGCAAGCTTGGTTGAGGGCGCGCCATCTTCTACAATTGTCGACGAGGTAGTTTTTCTTTTTGCTTTATTTTTATTTCTACCTTGTTCGTTGTAGTGAGGATTTTTAATATTGGCAATCTTTTTTGCAGGATGCTGACAGGATTGTGCGCTCTATCCAAGATTTGTTCGCTTCCTGGGGGCAGGTCCAAATGCCTCGCCCTGCTCCATCTGATTGTCCTGCTGCTTCTTCAGAAGATGATTTGAAGTTCTTAAAGGAGTTGGTATTTGAGTACGTATCCTTCATGGATATGGACATTGGAAGGGCTAGTGCTGCCAGACATAAAGATGAACTTGAGCACTTGAGTGCGAAGTTAGAGCAAGCACTGACGCTTTTGTCGCTCAGTCTTTCTGCCGACTTCAAAGCGACGTTGAAAGTCATTCACTCCGAGGTCCTTTCTATGCTGGCCAAGAATGCTGAACTAAAAGCCAAGCGTACTCAATATCTTCAAGCTGTAGCTGAGAAAGAGTCTTTACGCATGGAGATCAACAAGGCTAAGGACGAGTTGAAAGAAATCTCTTCCGAAGTCATGATTGAAGACTCTTTGATGGTTAACTTGGCTGCTCAGATGAGGGAGCTTCAGGCCAACATGGACGATTGCAGGGCGAGGATGGCTGCCAAAAAGCGCAACGCCTCTCAGGGAATTGAGCGAACTAAATCCTTGGTCGAACAGTACAAGAAGTTGGAGGTTGAAGATGATGACGTTGCAGCTGAATTGAACATCACTTCCTCCCGGCAGAACGAGGATTGGGAAAAACTTAGGGAACGAATTCGTTCCTTATGGGATAGACTGTAATTAAGACATACGATGTTTTTTTCTCTTTTGTAATTTTTGTTCATTATTAACGAACATTAACTTCTTTTGCATTTATTTGACGTTTATTTTCTAATCATCAATTCTTTAATCACTTAACTACTTTGCACTAAGAATCTTGTCCATTCCCTTTTGATATTCCCACTACTGTTCCCAAGA